CAACAGAATGAGTCAGTCAAACATCCGAACTCAGAATCCACTTGGGAGTTAAAATTCATCACTTTCTACTGCATGGAGCTGTGTGTCATCTGTGTCAGTCATGCTACTGGTCTGAGACTCATCTGTGCCAACTTTTGAAAGAAACAATGCACAAAAATAAAATTTATTTATATTATTTGCACATTTCACAAGCTATAAGGGCGACATTCTATACAGGTAGTCTTCGACTTACAGCAGTTCATTTAGTGACCATTCAAAGTTACAATGGGACTGAAAAAAGTGAGTTATGACCATTTTTCACACTTACAACCGTTGCAGCATCCCCATTGTCACATGATCAAAATTCAGACGCTTGACAACTGACTCATATTTGTCACAGTTGCAGTGTCCCAGGGTCATGTGATCACCTTTTGTGACCTTCTGACAAGCAAAGTCAATGGGGAAGCCAGATTCACGTAGCAGCCATGTTACTAACTTAACAACTGCAGTGATTCACTTAACAGTTGTGACAAGAAAGGTTGTAAAATGGGGCAAAATTCTCTTAACAACTGTCTCACTTAGCAACAGAAATTTTGGGCTCCATTGTGGTCATAAATCGAGGACTACCTGTAATGGAAAGACCTGTTTTCCATTATACTTTTCATATCTTATTTATACATTGTTCCCACCCAGTTTTTGGAGACTGTTGGCTTTTTTCTTGCTCTTTCAAGGCTCAAGTACCATGCAATTCCCAAAGTTACGCACAAAGCCTCAGAACCTGAACTAATCATGTCTGAGTGGGCTGATCCTATTCTAATTCAGTCTACATGGATAGTTTCAGTTCCAATTCTATAACACAGTTTTTCAAACAACTTTGATATAAATAGTAATTGGAGCAGGCATTTAGCATTTAGGCAGCACAGGAATTGTAAATGAGTTTCACCACGTATTATTTTTGTTATAACCTATGCAACCAACCTGTAAAGCTGGTTAGGTTCATAATCCCCACAATGTGAACCCTGTGGGTGGAGGGTAGGGAATGATTAGCTTGAGTTAAAGTTCCTTGCTTAAGGCTACCTGGATGGTTAATTTATTGCAGTTTTATCCCCTCCTCCTTTCTTCCCCCTCCTCTCGTATCTTCACAGCAGCACATTTAGGAAGTTACAACCACACTGAAAAAATGTCTATGGAGATTCTCAGTCATCCCGGTCATACTGTAGTTGTCCCAAAGATGCTTTTTCACGAGGCAACTGGACTTGAAAAACAAGATTTGAAAAACAAGAAAATCCAGTTGCCTCGTGAAAAAGCATCTTTGGGACACTGAAAAAAGTGACTTATGACTGGTTTTCACACTTACGACTGTTGCAGAATCCCCATGGTCGTGTGATCAAAATTTAGGTGCTTGGTAACTGGCATGTACAGTAGTGGCCAAAATTGTGGAAACCTTTTGGGAAACGTGTACAGTAGAAATGCCACCTTTGGTTAAATTTCCACCAATTTTTCTTCTAATTTCTTTATAACTGTAGCCTTGTTCACTGAATAATACTATTTTACATCGCTTTCTGGGCAACCAGTCAACTCCTTGCACCATTACTTTAATTTTATTACGTTTTACAAGCTCACTAAATGAAAGAACACAAAAAAAACCCAACCAACTTGATAGCGATCACATAACACACTGACAAATGTCCTCCTCTCAGCTTCAATACATGACATCAATAACTGAATCCTACTGTGATCTGATTGGCTCATTGCCAAAACAAGATGACACCTGATTGGCTCTCTAAACACTCATGCTCATTGGCTACAATCAGGTGAAGGAAAGCTACCTGATATCAACCAAGCAAGTTGTGCTTCCCTTTTCTGGTTATTTGGCTATAACCTTTCATAGAATACAGTACAGATAATTGAACAAACTTTGTTGCATTACATTCTTGATTAAATTATCTTTCCATTGATATATAATTTTATGGTACTACTCCCCCAAAAAAGTGGTGTTATTAGCCAGCTGGCTTCCGAGAAGCAAAGTCAATGGAGGAAGCCAGATTCGCTTAACAGCCACATGATTCACTTGCCAACTGCAATGATTTGCTTTACAACTGTGGCAAAAAAGGTCGTAAAATGAGGCACAACTCACTTAACATCTGCCTTGCTTACCAACAGAAATTTTTGGGTCAATTTTGGTCATACGTCAAAGACTACCTGTAGTGCTTCCTGATTCATAGCTGATTTTCAGAGTCCCTTTAATGTACCAGGGGAAGAAAGCTCAACAACTACAGGTTTTCTTCTACACCTCTTGCACTGAAGTGCAAGAAATACAGCCTGGGGGTCACGTAGGGTCTGCCACCATCCTTTTTGTACTACCAGAATCCCTCCAGAGTGAGCCAAACAACAGGATCTATTTTTATTTTTATTTTGCATGTTAGAAGTCAAGCAGTTTAAGCAGCAAAGAGGCATTTTAAGCTTTGCAAATCTTAAGGTACCCATTTCATGCTTTTAAACCCTTCAACGAGGAGCGCAGTGGCTCCGTGGTTAGGATGCTGGGTTGGAGGTTAGCAAGCCTGTGTTCGAGACCTGAGTGCTGTTGCGTGGTGGGGTGAGCTCCCGTCATTCACTGCAGCTCGATGGGGACATGAAAGGAGCACCCACAGGCATCACCAGGCAACGGTGATGTCACCGGCTAATCCTTTCAACCCGGAAGCACCTTAAACGTTGCCTCCAACACAAACGGGACAGGGGAGACCCTTCAGCCCTCTTTCCAAGTGGGTCCTCACCAAGCCACACAAAACCTTGTGCAGCCAGACTCACAAAGTTGCACATCCCCATCTCAAATGATCAGATCCTAAAATTTTACAGATGCCAATTTTTAAAGCGGAAGCACAAGTGATTCTAACTTTCTCAGGCTTGATGGTATTGTGCTTGAATATTGTGTATTAATTGCTAAGGCCTTATACAAAAACTTAAGATGGAAGTTCCTTTTAGAAGATTATACTCTGATACTTCAGATAGTTCTGGTGCTGAACTTATTTGCTTAGTTCCTATTAGGCAATGATCAGGTCTCTTTAGTAGCCCAAAGTCTAATTTCATGTCATTGTTATAATTTGCATGCCCAACTACATGGCTGTACCCAGTCAAACATGGCTGATCTCAAGAGGCTATGCAAAGCTGATCGTAGATAATACATGGAGAGGAGACCCCAGGAAACACCAGAGCTGTAGGGTAGACTAGAAAGTCAAAATATATTCATTCCAGTGGCAACCTTTTCTGTACCATTTCCAAGATGACCTCATGGATGTGTTCATGAAATCACCATTGAGCTTTATTCAAAAAACTTTACCTTTTATAGTTTGCTTAAATAAACGTGGAAAGAGAAGAATGACAAGAAAAATAATGTTATGGTATTCAAATAAATTTGCTTGCTATCTACGGGATGGGGTTATTTAAGGTTTGAGGCTCTCTTCAAACTTGGTTAAAAATAAGAAAGCATTTTCAACTATTTCCAGTTAGAAGATAGAGTGACCATAAGAAAAGGAAAAAATACATTTTTTTAGAATTCTAAGAAACTGCATAAAACTATGCTACTGTATATAAAATAGTAGCAGTGGTAAACTTCAGGACTGTTGCTACAACACTCTTTTCAAATTATCCAAATAGAAAGTATCTCTGTTTACCTCAAGAGAAGAACAAATAAAACAACCAATGGGAAAAACCAACCTGAATCATATGGACAGCATTCACTGATCTGTTGTTTTTGTGTTACAGGCTCTTCATCATCAGGTAGGTACTGCTTGTCAATGGCCTCTTTGATCTGGTTGTTGGCACCTTTGGGATCCAAGTCCATTGCCCAGGAAAAGTTCATCAGTGCAAGATGGGTCTGCCCCAACTTTTTATAAACCTAACCAAAAAACCCCCAAAAGGTGTACTCATATGAACTTGGTATGAATTTTTATTTCATATATTTTATATCTACTAGTGCTATTTGTAGGCAGTTTGTCATCTGTAGAGGTCATGGCTACCAGGACATCTGTCATACCCCTAAATGGCACTCTTCCCCTCAAAGTTTATATACAATAAAAGTATTTTAAAAATCAAACATGTCAAAAATGGAAAGAGATTGTTATATCTAATGAGGAATAATGGTATTAGAAACTGGTACCCAGCAGCAGAAAAGATTGTGTCAACCGTCCCACCCAGTCATCTAGCAAAGAAAGACTCCTGGCCATTTGTTTTGCCAAGAGTATACTTTACTGAAGCTTAAATGGTTACAGAAGTAACTAAGCTGAATCTGAGGTGTTCCCGTGCAAACAACAAAAAGGAAAGTTCCCTCTTCCCTTCCCTTCCCTTCCCTCCCCCCCCCCCCCCCCCCCCCCCCATGCTAATGTCAGGCTTTCAGCTTATGAAGCTTGGATAGGTGAGATGCAGCCATGACAGATTGCAAATTTCTCTTCAATTCTGGATGAGGTACTCCCCACCAACCCACTAAAATAAGAAACAGCACTAGATACATAATATATGGGATTGCCTTTAAATATTATTCATAAAGGTAAAGGTTTCCCCTGTCCAGTCGTGAACTCATATTTAATTCAAAAATAGAGCTGCTGCATTGCTAAGTGGGGCTGAAGAGGGAAAATACCTCACTGGTTCTGTCAGACCTTCAAGGTAGACCAGACCTGAACACCAAGTCATAAATATTAAAACTACTTTTATTATAGGGTTAGAGTAACAGAATCTTGCAAGTATGAATATGCATCTCCCCTTCCTGTCTGTACCCTAAAGAGAACGAGGGAGGGTCCAATCTGACATGCTTTCTTAAATTCCATTCCTGCTTTGGCCTGAGATTTCTCTTATCTGACTGTAGCTGCAACTCTTTCTCCTCTTCCTCAAGGTTATTCTCATAGCCCACTACAGGTCCTTGAACGACACCGTGTTCTAGTCTATTTATGGGATCAATTTAAAATGCCAATGCTTATTTTTAAAAGTCCTTCCAGCTTGAGAGAATCAGGCTGTCTCAGGAATTGTCTATTACCATATGTAGTCCCAACCCAAAAATCAATGGCGTCAATTTTCCAAACAAACCTCACCTCCTAGCCTTTCCTTTTGTAAAGCAATTGCAAAGCAAGTCTCCACAACCAGTCTGTCCTTGGCTGCATAGCTGTCAAACCATTCCCAGACTTTCTCCACAATTGTACATGGGGCAAGAAGGTGCCTTCAAAGTTAGGAGGAGACCTGGTTGCTCACCACAGTGGACAGTACTGCTGAAACACAGTGCAGTACACTTGGCGAGCATTGCGTAACATTATCATCAATATTAACCTTTTATCTTTTTACAGCAACAATTCAGAAAATAATTCTCAAAACTGTTTTTACCTTTCCTATCAAAAAGTAAACAAGAGACTCTTTGGGAACAATCTGCTTCAGTTCTTCAAGTTCTTGCAAAGCATACTGAAAGGGAAAAAACTGAGTAGATTTTCTAAGGGACTGCAGCAATATAACTTAAATATATACATCAAAGAAAAGTGGTCTATTCAATACAATAAAGTCAGTTTTAATTTCTGTCTGATTTTTTTTATTGTTTGACAAATATATTTGTTGTGGTATACAGGTAACCTTGCTTACTGACTGCCTTGTTTAGTGGTGTTACAATGGTATAAAAAAGCTTTGAGACCAGTCCTCACATTTATGATCGTTACAGTGTCTGCAGTCACACAATTTCTATTTGGGTGCTTCACTTTGCACATTTACAACTGTTGCCACACCCTACAGTCACATGATCACCATCTGTGTGCTTCTCAACTGGCTTGTGACAAGCAAAGTTAATAGGGAATGCAGAATTAAAATCATAAGTCACAGTCATGTGATGTTTCATTTAATGACTGAAGTGAGATCATGAGCCCGTTGCAGTCATGTGAGTTTCTGCTTAGCAACCACAGTGCTTAGCAATGGAGTTGTCAGTCTCAATTGTGGTCACTAAGTGAGGACTACCTGTACAATTTGCAATGTTACAACGGATCTAGAAACCCAGAGATTAGTCTACTGATCACTCCAAAATTTGACACATAAGAGACCAAGGAATTCAGCAAAGTCTTGAATGGAAAATATACAGGTAGTCATCAAGATACAACTGTAATGGAACCTGTCAGGACCATCTTAGGTGAAGAGTCCCACCTAACAATCCCCCCCATCCCTGCTCTCCCCAATAAATAATTAAACAAATGCACAAGTCATTAAGTGGAGCATGGGATGCCTCAGGAGGAGGCCCTCGGAGGCCTACCACCGGCTCAGCCCCCCCTGCCCTAGGTCCTCCCAAGGCCTCTCCCACCCACTCCGAGATGCCCTGTGATCTGCTTGCCGCTCCTTGGGTTCCCATTGGGTCCTCCCAGGCCTTAGGACTGATTCCCACAACACCAGGCCAAGCACCCTCCACTTAACCTTTGAAGAGCTCTGAGGCTTTACAGAGCACTGGAATGTATTACTTCTTTTTGTGGCCATTTTGTCCTACCCAAAAATGGCGGTCATGTTTAGGTTGCCGCCGTACAGCCCGTGGACAAACTGTTTCATTTTGCTGCCTTAACAGGGTCTGTGCAATGCTGCAGCTTTCTGCAGCACTGTGCAGACCTCGTTAATTCAGCAAAACAAAGCAGTTTATCTGGCAGCCAGCATTTTGTCCCAGTCCACAAGTTCGGGTCACCTCTGCATAGCCCAGGGACACGTGGCCTTCCCTCCTTCCCCAAGATGAGGTCTGGAGAGCTTCAAAAGGTAAATGCAATGGGTGATGGGGATGTGGGGAGCATGTCCAAAATCTGCAGGGTCCCAGCTGGGTGGGATGGGGTGAGCAAGGCGGGGGGGGGGGCACTGCAGCAGCCCTGTGGTTGGTCATAAGGGTGAATGACCACAGGGGTGCTACAGCCATCGCATTTTTGAAACAGGGTCGTATGTAATTTTGGAGTGTCAGTTGTAACTTTGAACGTTAAGTAACCTGTCATATCTCAAGGACTACCTGTATTCTATTTCTCTATCAAGCAGGTGAATCTAGAAGAAAGTGTAATAGTATTCAAAAAATTAAGAGTGACAACAAGCAGAGAATTCCCATGACTATAACTAAGACAGAACAAATTAACTGCTGGAAACGTTTTAGGCACTTGGTCAACTGACTAAAATCCTAGTGGAATTAATAAAAAATTCTCATCATCTTACTATACGATGATAACAGAGATTTAAAATGTTCCCTATGAAACTGTGCTTTTTATTTAGTATCCCTATACAGTAGCAGTGTTTCCTTTCCCCAGTTTAGGAATAATGTTTTACCATAAATAAATATGATACAGAGCAACATTCCTTTTGACCAAGCAAGCAGCACTCCTGGAACAATGGAACACAGTTTTGAATCGCCAGCAGAGAAGTTTTCTTAGGGTCCTCAAAATTTAAGGCTGTAAAGAATCTACTGTGGAACAAATCTCACTAAACTCAGCAAAATACATTTAGGGTTGTTTTGTATGCATTTTGCAATTAGCTTAAATGGATATAGCTAGTATTCAGTTTTTTTGAAAGGAAAAAACAGTTGCTTTCCAAAAAAATGAAGCATAGTTCCCTCCAAATATATTACTCACATTGTACTTCTCATTTGCAAATAATACTGAGGCTCTATGGAATTTGCAGAGGGGGTTCTTGGGATCAATGTTAATGGCTTTGTTCAGTGATTCCAAAGCCTTCTCAGATTTCTTCAGGGCATGCTGAACCTGAAAAAAAGGAAGGGCATTTTAACAGAATTGGAAGGGACCTTGGAGGTCTTCTAGTCCAACCCCCTGCTCAAGCAGGAGACCCTATACCATTTCAGACAAGTGACTGTCCAATCTCTTCTTAAAAACCTCCAGTGATGGAGCACCCACAAGTTCTGAAGAGTACTGGGCCTAAAACAGAACCTTGGGGTACCCCACTGCTTCCTTCCTTCCATGTAGATGTAGTTCCATTAAGGACTACACATTGAGTACAGTTTGTTAGCCAGTTACAAATCCATCTGGTGGTGATGCTGTCTATCCCACATTTTTCTATCTTATGAAGGAGTAAGTTGTGGTCTACTTTATCAAATGCCTTACTGAAGTCCAAGTAAATTATGTCCCCAGCATTTCGCTGGTCTGCTAATTTAGTCACATTATCTACATACTGTATACTATACATATACAAATACATATATATTTTCAACATATATATACAACACTAAGGTGGTCACTGTTCATATTATACATCAAACCTGAATGAGAAGTGATTTACTTACAATTCCAATGTGGCACAACAAGACAGAACTCTGAGGATTAATATAAAGTGCTTTTTGGAAATGCATTTCTGCAAGGCTGAATTTCTCTTGTTTGTAGTAAATCATCCCCAATCCATACCTAGCAATGAAAACAAAAACACCCCCCCCAACAATGTATAATATTACTACCAATGGTCAAAGAGGAACCCTCAACCTTTCTGAGCAAATGGATATACTGTACTTTGACATTTGAGAGAGGTTAATGACTTCTTTCACAAAATGGATGCTATGATGGATATGGCTAATTATAAAACATCAATTTCCTGGACGGTAAATTGGTGAGGCAAAAATTAAAAAAAAACAAACAAGAGTGCAGCCTGAACTCCATACAGGTAGTCTTCAACTTACAACCACAATTGGGATCGGAATTTCAGTTGCTAAGCAATGCGGTTGTTAACCAAGTCATCATGTGACCGGACCTGATTTTATGACCATTTTTACTGTAGTCATTAAGCGAATCATGTGGTTGTTAAGCAAATCTGGCTTTCCCAATTGCCGCTGCTTGTTGGAAGCTGGCTGGGAAAGACACAAATCGTGATCACATGACTGCAAGATGTGGCAACTATCGTAAATGTGAACCGGTTGCCAAGTGCCTGAATTGCAATCATGTGACCACAGAGGTGGTCCAATGCTCATGACTTTCAGGATGGATTGTAAGTGACTTTTCCAAAGCCATCCTAATTTTGAACCATTGTTAAACAAACAATTGTAAGTTGAGGACTACCTGTATGCTAATCCACATATTTGCTACTATAAAGCATAACTAATTACTTGTTTTACAGAAACCAAAGTGGTGATACAGAAAAGATATATAAAAACATTACTAATACACACATACAACCAAAACAGCACGTGAAAGATACAAGTATCACAGAGACATAATTCCTTAACATTTTCTAGCCTTCAGGACTTTTTGTTCTCATTTCAATTTCCTTTTTCCTTTTTCCAGAATAATACTGTAACAATATTATAGTTCAGCATATGCAGCACCTAAATTTCCTGGTTTCTTTAATTAGAAAAAATAAAATCGGGAGGGACTGCTTTGCCTTATAATCAGAAAGGGAATTTTTGGAGTTTCCGGTGACATCGCTGCAATATGGACTGGGGAAATGATTCTCCTCTCCCCGGGTCTGATTTCTACCAGCTGGTGGGTCCAATCGGACTGAAAGTCCCCCCCTAGAGGCGACTGCCAAAGGGTGAAACTTTGAAGTTTGCGGGGCAGCGGTAGCTGGCCCACTGGATCCAAAGGAGCCCTTGGAACCGGCAGGAAGAAAGGCTGACCACATTCAGGCGGTTCACCATTCTAAAGCGAAAGCAAACAGCTCACCTGGGTGAGAATATCTTCTTCTTCTCTCTCTGCAAGTGGATACCAGTTTTACGAACAGCATTTCAGCAGCTTTTGAGAGCGAAGCCCTTAGCTTTAGGGAGGGGGGTGAAGTTTTCTTTCTTACCCCCCCTCCTGAATTACAAGCGGCGGTTTAAGCCCCTGGCAAACTAAAAACTTACCATATCGTAAAGCTGTCTGAGGCACAAAAGGATAACTTGGGAAGCTTCTGGCTCTATAGATTTTTTTTGGCTACTTTTTGTTTGAAAGCCATCACAACTTTTACTTTTTAAATCTTTAAACTACTTTTTATTTTTTTCCCTTTAAATATGGTGGGAATGGACATCTAATGCCATCTAGTGGTGAAATTGAGAATTATGTCCAGCTTCCCCTGATTGGAGTTAACTCAGATTAAAATTTGGCTGTATGCCCAGACACCGCTTATCTGAAGGTCCTTGAAAACTTTGCCTGAGAAAAAAAAGATTTCCTTTGGTTTGCCTGGTTTTACAAGATAGACTATAATTATAAATAAAACTGTACTTAGAGCCATCTGACTCCCCTGGATTATAAATACAGCTTGATTTGGAACTGTTTTAAGCTGTCTCTGAAGAAGTGAATACCAAGAAACTCCTTTGAACAGAACTCTGTGGATTATAAATTTTGGCATTTTTCTTTTTTTATTCTTGGGGCATTTTTTTCCTCTCCTTTTTCCCTGGCCCTGCTGCTATTATTTTTTATTTTATTTATTTTTTTATTTATTTTTATTTATTTTATTTTAAGACTTATATGCCGCCCTTCTCCCCACGGGACTCAGGGCGGCTCACAGCATATTAAAACAACATAGTACATTTCCCCAATAAAAGCCAATTAAAAACCAAATATTTATAGCTGTGTCTCTTATTAAAATCATTAAAAATTATCCCTATTTAAAATTCACCCTAGGTCAGTCCCGCTTGCTGAAAAAGCCATGTC